ATATTATTTTCTGGTTGAAATCATTAACTAAATCTTAAATTAACCAAAATGTTAAGTATTTGTACATGACTAGATAATCACAGTTTCAAAAAGCAGCTTTTTCCCCCCCAGTAACTGAGCAGACATGGTACCCTGACAAGGTTTCTCATTCTTAATTACTAATCATATTAATGTATGACTAAGAATTCACCTTCAGGAAGGAATTTTTTTTTTTTGAAAGAATGCATTTGTTTCCGTGATGTTTTGTTTCTGTTCCATTATTTCCTTGGTTATTCTGGATTACTATAGAAGAATGCACAGATAATTTCTATTTTGCAGCAGGGGTGTCAATGTCTCTTACTCTCTTAGATCAATAGCAAAGTTTCTTAAACGGTAGTTTAAATTAAGTACCCAGAAAAGCATGCGCCGTTCACTGCCTCCATCCTTCATCAGCTCCATTTGTCTCAGCCCCTTCCATCCTGCTGTGCTGCTTTGGTGACCCTGTCTATCTCGTCTGTCTGATCTCACGTCTGTCTTGTCCAGTTCTCCCTGCAGTTTCATCCTGTGTGTCTGTTTGTAGATGAAGGGGCTGAGGATCAAGTGGGTCCTCTACACAGGTTCCCCAGCCATGAACCTGCCAGCAGCGGGGAGAGGCGTAGGCTTCTAGCCCCCTCCATCTCCGTGTCTGTGCCTGATGATGAGCCTTACAATTCGGATGAGGAATACTATGAGCATCCTTTGTTCAGCTCAGAATGGACTAGTGTGCTCCCCAGTGTCACAGCACAGAGCGCAGAGGCCCACTTAGTCCAGGAGACAGGTGAACAGGAGCATGGCGCCCTCTTGCCCCTCCTCCCAGCCTGCAGCTCTGTCCATATACATCATGTTCAGTGTGCTTCTGTGTGGGCGGTGGATGGGCAGAGGTTTGTTTTGTCCCCATGAAAGTGAAGTCCCTAGATAAGGAGTCTTCCACTGAAACGCCTCCAAATTTATATGAAAGAAATGTGTTACATGAAGCAAACATTTGCTTTTATACATTATGTTTGCATTATTGCTCTTATGAGGTGGGAAGGGAGAAGAAAGGGGAACAAGAAACAATGCAATTAAAGTATGACTCCGTTTTGTTCCTTGTAAATTATTCAGTAAAAACATATTATTGACCTAAACTGAAGAAGATGACCCTAATGTGTATTCTCCTCCTTAGATATGGACTATGATTAGGGTTAGCCTTAAGTGGAAGTCACGTTTTTACAACTATATTCATATGCTTGTTATTCAAAATGAAAGAATAAAGAACCCACTTAGAACAGAATAAATGTTATGGGGTGAATTTATGACGACACGTCAATTAATGAGAAACCGTGGGGGATCCTCAGGGGACTGTCCTCAATTCATGTCAGCAGATTTGGGCTAGCATGAAGGCTGTGTCTCAGAGCCTTCATTGCATAAAGCTGAGCTACCTATGTATAAATGAAGTTCAGTGGGAGATGGGCTGCTATTTGTCCCACTTTTAACTAGGGGGTTTTTATAAAGAAGAAAGTACAGCTAAAATATTTCGCTCAGACAGAAGCAATTTGGGGTAAGAACAATGACTTGCTCATTTTCATGTGAGACAATACACGGTGCTAAGAACACAAGGACCACAAGGACCGATAATTCCAAGGCAGCAAGGAATCAGCTCACAGATTGCCAGCCACAGGCATGGCTGTAAGATTCTCCCAAATTCATTTTGAAAACCAAAGAGCTCTGACACCCTAAGAAATATTCTCAGCATTAAATGAAAGTAAGTACTTTTTACAGTGCGGACTTAAAGTGATTAAACTATATGGGAGATTTTTAATTAAGACATAGGTACAGGGACACAAGCATACCTAATTCAAAATTTAAAAATTAAAGACCAAAACACTATGTCGTCTGAAAACATGTAAATTGACTTGGTTAGGCTTCATCTAATAAGATGAACTTGGTGAATTTAGATATGTTTAAAGTTTTTCGCTAGAATCAATATGTATGCATTATTTTTAAAATTCCTGAATAATAAGGAAGAATTTAAATTTTGAAAATGTCCCTTTCAAAATTAATTGCAGACATAAAAATGTCTGCATGGTAAATGTGGAAAGATCGATGAGGGAGTTCTGCCACTCTCCAGGGTGTTGATATATATTTCTTAAAACAGAAAATTCCTTCCCTTTCCATCTATAGTCTTTCCCACAGGACCTTTTGCACAATTTCCAATTGTTTTTATGGAAATATCATAAGCATCTTCCCACTGCAGACTTCTAAAACAGCTAATGTAGTTCCCTTTAATTTATTAAAGGGTAAAATGGATTCATTGATTTTTGTGGACATTTGAAGTGTAAATGAGAAGCAAATGAACAAAATGATTCCTGGCTTTCAGAAGCTTGATGTTTGCACTTAAAGGCTAACATTGTTTCAAATTGTACCTTTGGGAGGGATATTTTTGGCAGTCTGAATGTGGCTTAGTCATCTTTCCTTGGTGATTTTATTTTGAATTGGATTGTAAGATTATGGACACTTTTTCTTTGTGTCAAAAAAGAGCTATTCATGAACTATTACTGACTAAGTAATATGAAAACAATAGTATTCAATGGGAAAACACTTTCATAAATGATAAAGTTTAAAGTTAAAAAGTATTTTACTTTGTATCTTTCTTCTCCTTGAGTATCACATAATTCAATGGAGGCAAGATAAATTGACCTAACCTTACAGCACTTCCTTAGAAATACAGTAGAGTGCTTTGATGGACTTCTTGATAAAACCATTAAGCAATTGAAGTAGGTAACACTTTGAGGCTAAGCCTACTTTATTCCTAAAACTGTCTGGCAAAGTTACACATTTTAAATAAAGCAATCGGGGAATCTTGTGTAGGGACTTCCTGCATGGGAGAAAACACATGTCTAACCAATTGGAAGGCTTTTATTTTCCCCCAGCACACCAATGCATCCCTTCTCTCACCATCTGCTGGCCTAACACCATCTCTAATTTCTAACAAGCCTTACCCACGTGTTCATCTTTCTGTCATTCCCACTAAGGATGAGTAATCCATAAAACTCTTTCAGCTCTCAATTTTTAAAACAAATAACAGTCCTTTAATTAGAGTTTTCAAAGGCATTTCTGTCTGCATATTATACACCATCATTTTCCAGCGAGTACATAATGTGTCTGTCACTCAGTTATTAATTCGCTCATCCAGATGGAATAGGAAAATATTCCTGATGCCCCAGAGAGGTCATTCAAATGGAGCTGAAAGTGTTCCATGAATAATGTTTCTGTCCTTTCGTGTATTGTTCTGTGGTCATGATGTCAACATCTTTTTCATCCCCAAGAAGAAGAAACGCTAGAGGGTGTGATGGCTGAGGAAATGACACCTGCTGCCCTACCTGGGAAAGAGCATGGGGCTGCTAAGACCTCAGACCACCCCCAGGGCCTCAGTGAGGGCCAAGTGGAATCTAGCACAGAGGCGCAGATAATTCCAGAAGACAGTGCCCTGACAGGGACTCTGCATGAGAAAAATGTAAAAGAGGTCACAGAGGTGGCTCCGGATGTAAAAATCCCTTCCTCTGCCAAGGAAGGTGTGTGTCTGTCAGGATTTGCATGCGTGCTACGAATGTGCGGCCATGGATTTCACCAAGCGAATGCCTTCCCAACGCTGGCCCACCGCTGGGTCTTCTCATGGCCATAAGACACCATTTCAGGCTTTGTGAGCAGAGACTGTAGCTTGTGCAGATGCTGTGAGAGCTTGGTTGTCCCCTGCTGCAGCTGGTTGTCCTTTGCCATGATACAATACGCTTTGCCGCAAGCTGATGATGCTGTGTGAACTCTTCTTGGTTTACCCCCCTCCCTCCTCATCGCCAGTGTTTGCCAGTCACATTGCTAATACATGTATATTTTTGTTTTTATGTTTTGGGACAGCAATTCATATGCTTTTCTTTTCAAACCCTAGAGCTGGATTTTAGCACATACAGGCTTAAATGATAGGATCGCTTTTGTTTGCAGCCACAGAGTGCTATGTTCTTATGCTTCAACAAATGCTGGTTTGGTTTCCTTCGGAGACCCTGTCAGTGCTTCTCTTGTCATTGTCTCTCCAGGGCAGCCAACCCCTTTATCATGCCTGCATCGCTTGAGTGTTCGTTCATCCAGCTTTCATTACAAGTTTAAATTACTTCATTGCTCTCATTACAACAGGACACACAATTCTATCAGGTCAAGATGACCCATCTTCAAGAGATGGCTGAATTTTTATGAGTCACTGCCAAATCCTTTTCAAATAACTACACTTAGCTCTGGTGACCACAGGAAGTAATTTAAAAGAGACACTTGGATTGGCATGCAAATAAAACCAAAACCATGTAATTTATTTAATGTCAGGTATTTCTGAGGCCAATGCTAGCCAATGTTTTGCTAGCTGACCATGTCCAGAGAACCAAGTCAAGACCCTGGGGAGAAAAATATTATAACAGTTGGCTCTTTGAAAAAAAAATGTCTTGCTCTTGTGATACTCAACTGTCATAATTCGGAAGCCATGACTGCAAATTAAAATTTCAGATTAAGTACAAACTGGCTCACCAATTCTTTGGTCATGTATATAAAATTGGTAGCAAATGTTTACTTTAATCTCAGCTGTCTTCTAAAACTTTATGCCAGTAACTTTTAGTATCCCCATATGGGTCCTCAGAATTTTATATCAAGTTAACTGAAACTCCTAATACATGAATCATCATGTATTTATTGGCATTGGCAAGAGAGACAAATAAACAACACAGACAAGCAGTCTGAGGCAAATGAATGTACACAATTCATTTAGAACAGGACTACTCAGTACTAGTACATACAGACTCCAGTCCTGACATTCCGTGCTCATTTTCCAGTGGGTAGCATGCTTGCATGGTCCACAGCTTCCCTTTTTCCCTCTCTTTCATTGCCTACTTGTAAGTATGACTTTAAGCTTACTGCCCAAAAGCTGTTGCCTATTGTTTGTTTAAAAATCAACCCGATTACTTCAGATTTACTTTCAGCCTCGAAGATGGAATTCCCTGAGCAGCAGAAATTGACTTCTCTCGCTGAGCCTTTAGACAAGGGAGAAAAGAAGATGGAAATGCAAAGTAAGCCTGGTGAAGATTTTGAACATGCTGCCTTAGTTCCTCAGCCAGAGACAACTAAAACTCCCCAGGATAAAAAGGATCTCCAGGGCACTGAAGGGGAAAAGTCACCACCCATTCCATTTGGGCACACTTTTGGTACCAACCTGGAAGACATAAAACAGAATACAGAACCAAGCATAACAGTACCTAGCATTGGCCTCTCTGCAGAGCCTCTAGCTCCAAAAGAGCAGAAAGACTGGTTCATCGAAATGCCCATGGAACCAAAGAAAGATGAATGGGGCTTAGCTGCCCCAACATCTCCTGGCCCCCTGACACCCATGAGGGAAAAAGATGTGCTGGAGGATATCCCAAGATGGGAAGGGAAGCAGTTTGATTCTCCCATGCCAAGTCCCTTTCATGGTGGAAGCTTCACTCTTCCATTAGATGCTGTAAAGGATGAAAGAATCACAGAAGTACCACGACCCTTGGCTCCTGTCTTTTTCCAACCAGATGACAAAACATCTCTGCATGACACCAGTAGCCTAGCTACTGCCGAAGATAGTTCTAGAGATGAGGAGCCACAGAAAGATAAAGCAGACAACATGGCAGATGCCCCAGTCTCAGAAGATGCCACCTTACCCAAAGATACTCATAGTCCAGTTATGGAAGGCTATATTGGAGAAGGTGTTTCAGGGGAAGGAAAGAGTGCCACAAATCAAGAGAAAAAGGAAACTTCAACCCCCGGCGGACAGGAACCTACACTCACTGAAAATGAACCACAGACAAAGCTTGAAGAGAAATTAGTGGTTCCCATGGAAGAAGCTGTGGCAAAAGAACGTGAACCCCCCAAACTGAGAGATGATGAAACAGCTGTAATTCAGACCTCCACTGAGCACTCTTTCTCCAAAGAAGAACAAAAAGGCCAGGAACGGGTAGCAGATGAGCTAAAACAGGACTCCTTCATTGTAAGTCTAGAACAGGCACTTTCATATCCAGCCATGACCTCTGAGACCTTGGAAAAAGTTACATCTGAGTCAGAGGCCGTAGGTGAAATGAGAGAGACCCAGGGACTTTTTGGGGAGAATGTAGCTGTCAAAGACAAATTTGAAGGAGTTGGGTCTGCAACAATAGCTGAGGTTGGAATGCCATTTTATGAAGATAAGTCAGGGATGTCCAAGTACTTTGAAACATCTGCATTGAAGGAAGAGGTGACAAAAAGCAGTGATTACTATGAACTGAGTGACACGAGAGGACGTGCCCAGGAATCTCTTGACACTGTGTCTCCCAAGCACCAACACGGTGAAAAGGAACTTGAGACGAAAGAATCCCAGCCCAGTGCTCCAGCACAGGATATAGGCTACAGCACTCTTGCCCAGAGTTACCCATCTGATGAGTTACTCGAAGAACCAAGTTCTCCTCAAGAAAGAATGTTCACTATTGACCCCAAAGTTTATGGGGAGAAAAGGGACCTCCACAGTAAGAACAAGGATGATTTGACACTTAGTCGAAGTTTAGGGCTTGGTGGTAGGTCTGCAATAGAGCAAAGAAGCATGTCCATCAACTTGCCTATGTCTTGTCTCGATTCCATTGCCCTTGGATTTAACTTCGGCCGGGGCCATGATCTTTCCCCTCTGGCTTCTGATATTCTAACTAACACTAGTGGAAGCATGGATGAAGGAGATGATTATCTTCCTCCCACCACACCTGCAGTGGAGAAAGTCCCTTGCTTCCCAATAGAGAGCAAAGAGGAAGAGGAGAAGGCAGAGGGAGCGAAAGTGACGGGAGCACAAACTGTTCAAATTGAGACATCCTCTGAGTCACCCTTCCCAGCCAAAGAATATTACAAAAATGGTACCGTCATGGCCCCTGACCTGCCTGAGATGCTAGATCTGGCAGGAACCAGGTCCAGATTAGCTTCTGTGAGTGCAGAGGCTGAGGTTGCCAGGAGAAAATCAGTCCCTTCCGAGGCTGTGGCTGCAGAAAGTAGTACCGGTTTGCCACCTGTTGCTGATGAAAACCAAGTTGCTGCAAAACCAGACAGTCAACTTGAAGACATGGGATACTGTGTGTTCAATAAATATACAGTCCCTCTCCCATCGCCAGTTCAAGACAGTGAGAATTTGTCAGGAGAGAGTGGTTCGTTTTATGAAGGAACCGACGACAAAGTCCGCAGAGATTTGGCGACAGACCTTTCACTGATTGAAGTAAAACTTGCAGCTGCTGGAAGAGTCAAAGATGAGTTCACTGCAGAGAATGAGCCATCCACACCCACTTCTGCTGACAAATCAGGACTGAGTAGGGAGCTTGACCATGACAGGAAAGCTAATGACAAACTGGATACGGTCCTCGAAAAGAGTGAAGAGCATGTTGAATCAAAGGAGCATGCCAAGGAGACCGAAGAGGCCAGTGAGAAGGTGGAGCTCTTCGGATTAGGTGTAACCTATGAGCAAGTCTCCACCAAAGAACTGACAACAGCTAAGGATACATCCCCTGAGAAAGCAGCAAAAGGTCTCAGTTCGGTGCCTGAGGTAGCTGAGGTGGAGCCAACCACAAAAGCCGACCAAGGGCTCGATTTTGCTGCAAAGAAAGCTGAGCCCAGTCAGTTAGATATAAAAGTCAGTGACTATGGACAGATGGCTTCAGGGATGAATGTAGACGCTGGGAAGGCCACAGAACTCAAGTTCGAGGTTTCTCCAGAGCTGGCCCTCTCGTCCAAAGGTCCTCAAGAAGAGGATTCATTCATGGTTGCTGAGTCTGGCCACATGAAAGAAGGTGCCAAAGTCAGTGAAACAGAAGTCAAAGAGAAGGTGGCAAAGCCTGACCTGGTACATCAGGAGGCTGTAGACAAGGAAGAGTCCTATGAGTCTAGTGGTGAACATGAGAGCCTCACCATGGATTCACTGAAGCCGGATGAGGGCAAGAAGGAAACCTCTCCAGAGTCATCTCTGATTCAAGACGAAGTTGCCCTCAAACTGTCTGTGGAAATCCCTTGCCCACCCCCTGTTTCAGAGGCTGACTTATCCACTGATGAGAAAGCTGAGGTCCAAATGGAATTTATTCAGCTGCCAAAGGAAGAAAGCACAGAGACTCCAGATATACCTGCCATACCTTCCGATGTCACCCAGCCACAGCCTGAAGCAATTGTGTCTGAACCAGCAGAGGTCCCAAGTGAGGAAGAGATCGAAGCTGGAGGAGAATATGACAAACTGCTCTTCCGCTCAGACACCCTTCAGATTACTGACCTGGTTGTCCCCGGAAGTAGGGAGGAGTTTGTGGAGACCTGCCCAGGTGAGCACAAAGGTGTGATTGAGTCTGTGGTGACCATCGAGGATGATTTCATCACCGTAGTGCAAACCACGACCGATGAAGGGGAGTCAGGGTCCCATAGTGTGCGCTTTGCAGCTCTAGCTCAGCCTGAGGAGGAAAGGAGACCATGCCCCCATGATGAAGAGCTTGAAGTAGAGATGGCAGCAGAAGCCCAGGCAGAACCCAAGGATGGCTCTCCAGATGCCCCAGCTACCCCTGAGAGAGAAGAGGTTGCATTCTCAGAATATAAAACAGAAACCTACGACGATTACAAAGACGAGACCACCATTGATGACTCCATCATGGATGCTGACAGCCTGTGGGTGGACACTCAAGGTGTGCTTCTTTTTCAATCTTCTCCCAAATAAAACCCATAGCCTAGTGGGGAGTTTGGTTTTCACTTTAAAAAATTAAAAAAAAAAAAAAGAGTTCTCTATTTACATTACATTGTGTTAAGTATATGAAGGCTTTTGTGCATCTGTCACTAATGTTCTCACTGTTCTTGTTGCCATGGTTTGCTTTAATCCGCAGATGATGATAGAAGCATCATGACAGAACAGTTAGAAACTATTCCTAAAGAGGAGAAAGCTGAGAAGGAAGCTCGGAGGCCATCTCTCGAGAAACATAGAAAAGAAAAACCCTTTAAAACCGGGAGAGGCAGAATTTCCACTCCTGAAAGAAAAGTAGCTAAAAAGGAACCTAGCACGGTCTCCAGGGATGAAGTGAGAAGGAAAAAAGGTTCATTTAACAATCACTTCTTTTAAAATGTGTTTTTAAAATTAATTTCTTATTACTCTACTGAAGCAACTGCCTTACTGGTTACTTATAAAAAAAAAATTTGTTCATTTTTTTCCAAGTGTTTATTTTCTTTCCTGATGGTATGCTGTTTTGTGTTTTCTTATTCATAGCAGTTTATAAGAAGGCTGAACTTGCTAAAAAAACAGAAGTTCAGGCCCACTCTCCTTCCAGGAAATTCATTTTAAAACCTGCTATCAAATACACTAGACCAACTCATCTCTCCTGTGTTAAGCGGAAAACCACAGGTGACTGTTTAATTCTGCAAGGTGGCTGGCAAACATAGATGTGCATTTTTTTTTTCAATTCATTACTGTAGAAGCTTCTTCCTTTTGTTTTACTTCCAAATCTCAGCAATCATGAACAATTTCGCTATTAAGTGTCTTGTTTCATTATTCTTTTTTTTCCCCTCCCTACAGAAGAGGTCATGACCATCTGTTTCTTTGTCATGCTCAGACATAACAGTGCGTGATTGTATCTTGGCATTGTGCTCTAGTGTCACGTTCTGGGGATCCCTATTTTCATTCTGTGTGTTTGGTTAGACGATGGCGATGAATTTAACTGTGGTATGCATTCTCATTATTTTGCTTATTTATCTCCTCCATGCTTAAATCCATGTATATTTGTTCTATTTTCTCTATTGTTACTGCCAAATCTGTTACTGGTGTTGACTTTACTGAGACAGTGTATATTGACTTAGATATTGGAAATGAAAAAATCTCCTGGGGTAATACTAATTTTCAAGATTATTTTGCTCTAGATGGAAAAAAAGACGAAGAAAGAAAGGAAAAGATCTGTGTCCTATCAGATGTTGTTCTTCAAGTCTAACATGAATACCTTTCAGTCTCCTGTACTTCATCATTGGAATGTTTTTGAAGTTATTAATCCAAACTGTCAAATGTTCTAACGTGCAGAATACTAAGTTAAAATTCCACTCCCTTAATAGTTAATCAAACTAGAAAACAAAAACACGTTTTATATAATCTCAGTACTGGGAGACAAAGTCAGGTGGCTCTCTAGGTAGATCTCCATTGAGTCCCACATGAGCTACACTGAGGCACCTTAATATAAGAGAAAGGGGAGAGACGTTTCTGTTTTGTCACCTGCTTATTTCTGTCACTCCCAAATATACACACCTATAAACTTGAAAATCTAGTAGAACAAAAGAAGGAAACATGGCAGAATTCATCACAAAGAGGGCTTTAGAGATGGCCTTATTGCTGTAAACACTCACTGCTCTTACAGAAACCCAGAGTTTAGCTCCCAGTGGCAGTTTATAACCTTCTATAACTCCAGTTTCCAGAGGGTTCAACCTCTTCTCTGGCCTCTTGGAGCACTACACATATGTTGTACAGTGACATGCAGGCAAAACACCTGTGCATATAAAAGAAATCATGATAAAAATCTATACAGCTCTCTACAATGGAATTTTATTTTGAAATTTCACTGTAGAGTAGCAGAGTGTTTACTTTTTGTGCCTGGTCATGCTCTGATAATCTTAATTTTAAATTTTCTATAAGGATATGCTTATAGTCTACAAAATACCAGGAAGAAATGTTCTCCTTTACATTATATATTGGAAATGGCTTAATATAACGGGCACTTTAAAAATTAGGAGTGACATCATTGGCTTAACTGAGAAAAAGATCATTGATCTTCTAGAACAACCACCAAAAGTCACTAGTATTTTTGTTTGTTTAGGTTTTCTATTCAGGTTTGGGTTCTGGGTTTGGGGGGTTTTGAGATGAGGTATTTGTATGTAGCCCAGATCAGCACTGAATTCATTATCACCCTGCTTTAGTCTCCCCAATGCTTAGATTGCAAGTGTGCAACACCATACCTGGCCAAAGTTCCCAGTAGTATGTGTTTGTGTTCTACATATAGGAACCATATGGTATAGTTTATGTAAGAACCATACCTAAGCCGGGTTTGATTTTGGAAGGCTCTTCTATACACAAATCTTGAGAGCAGCTCAGGGTAAGAAGTACTTAGGAGTTAACATGCCATCTCTGCATCTTGTATCATGATTAGATGATTCTGTCAAATTTTCAGATATTTTACTTGACTTAGGCAAATACTTAGAGAAATAGAGTATCTTTATGAAATCCTGTATTCTACCTTGAAATCTAAAAATGCTGCCTGGATTATGGAAATTAAGAGGAAATATAAAATACTTTGTAAATAGTTTGTGTGACATTCCTGCATGCCAAGGGCACTCACTTCACCTCCCTCCTTATATTTATTCTTTGAAGAAAATTTACATTGGGAGACTAACTAGGGTCTCTCCCTATTTTAGTCAAATACCAAGAAACCCCAGCAGGAAGCCTACACAAAATTTAGAAATTATTGAATTAAAACAAACTACATTTTGCTTTACTTTGGATATGTCATAGAATAGTGGATGACATCGTTTTCACTGCTTCTTAAAGAAAAAACAAAATCAATGCAAGGATCTGGAAGTCTTTCTAGCCAGGCCTACATAGAATAAAGCACACTGTAGGCAGCCATTGTCTTGATATAAGAACTCACATGACATAGGACACCTTTTTAGAACATATATGAGGTTTATAAGGCTATTTTTTTCCTGAAAATTTCTTTGCCAAAGAAAATTAAGAAGAAAGTAAACATACAAACTAGAGTATTTTACTTCTGAGAATATTTGTCAAATACTATTATTTTTCAAAACACAAAGGATGCTCTTATATTGTGAGATATTAAAGTCAAATCAGGTAAGTCATCCACACAAAATGTGCTAGAGATGATGGAGTTAAACATTGAGACCAGAATCAAACAGCAGAATCAAGAGAAACAGCAGTAACAGATGTGGTAGCAGTGTCATACAGGAAGTGCATGCGTAGAACGTATTTCGTATTTATTGGACTTGAAGTTTCTCACCCTCTGTCCCGACAACTTGTTTTCCTTCCCTTCTTGTGGTACATTTTCACATTGGGCAAGTATGTCAATCATACTGCCAAGTAAAGATGTCCACAGGCAAAGGGGTTTGCTGATTATGACAACCTGGGTGGTAAAATGCAGAAGGACCTGCTTCTAGAAGAGGAGGGTTAGACATTTCTGTATCATGCCAACACAAAGAACCAATCGGCTTCCTTTCCTTTAAACCAGGCAGCATTTGCCTTGATGTCTGTGCCTTTCGATCTAAAGATTCTGTGTCTATACAGTAGATACTATAAAGTACCTTGATGCCCCATAGAAAATGAGTGTGTGTGCTGTTCTTCCTTGCACTTCAGTAGACTCCAGTCTATATTAATTTATGCACACTGTAGTTGGAGCCACATTATGCATTACTATTATCCAATTTTCTTTGGTTACTTAATTTGAGCCTCAGTAGCAAGAAATTGCACTTTACCTTAGTCTTGTGACATAGTGGAACACCCAGGTATTGGAAAACACATTTGTATGAGTTTTAGCCACTTGATTATTTCTTTGTTTCTTTTCAACAGCAGCAGGTGGTGAATCAGCTCAGGCTCCCAGTGCACTTAAACAGGCGAAGGACAAAGTCACTGTGAGTAAACCAAGTCTGCTCTTGTCCTTTACTTTTAGTATTCATTCAATGTCTTACAAAATGTAGGTATCATGTACAGTTGTACTTATTTCCAAATGGCCACTTTATACTCACCCAGCATGATCTCTGGAGCACCCACACTAAAATTGACATCATCTAGAATGATAAATTGTGGTAGTTGGTAAGGACACACCTGGGCTTGCACAATGCACAATGAGTTAGTTAGCAACAACTGGGAAGAGCAATTTACTTACATTTTGTAGAAGCAATTTTAGTATTTTTATGTTCTTATTGTTTTTGTAACAAAATAAATCTACATTTTAGAAACTATATAGATGAGCAGGAAGTAAAATAAGTATAGTTAATTTTACTAAAGATGTCTGTCTACATTAACATTTTGATTTTTAAAAAATATGTTTTCTCCGCCTTTATAGGTTTAGTAACCAAAAACAAAACACTGTATTGATTTTTAATTAAATAAAAGCATTCTTATAACCATTTTAATGGCAGCATGACATTCCATTCTATTAATTCATCACAACATAGTCAGTTTCCTGTTATCTGGCTTTCAAGCTATTTCTGTTGTCATTTTAATAATACTGCTATTGAGGTCTTTTGTGCCAGGGCATTTCCTTGGGAAAGTTTTCTCTTACACAAAATACTGTATTTTAAAGTTAGTGCTCCATATTGTCAAAGTCATATTGTTCTTTATATGTTCAATTATGATAATTAAGTATTGATTAAATGTGGCTGTATTAATGATTAACTATTTTATATGTGTATCAATCCTGTCTACCTTTTCTTTTTTAAATTGTTTATGTCATCAACTGTGTTTTAAAAAGACAGAAACCAACATGAGATATTTTGTTCTTTTTATGATTGGAAGAAAAACGACTAAAGGTATACTAGTGAAATCCTAAATTTATAAGGAGCAGTTTGAATGATTTCAATATGTAGATTTTGGGGGTTCCCACAATCATATATATATATTACAGTTTTTAGCTTATCAAACATGACAACACTTTACACTTCTACTTTGTTATTAATAAAGACAGTGTTTTATTTCCAATACTGGTCAAATATTTGAAAACCATCTCAAACTGAGGGTCTTTATTTGATAGGAGGAGAAAGTCAATGTTTATGTGAGTATTTATACATTAGACACATGCCTTAGTAAATGGTATTATAACCCCATTGCTTTAGTAACTATGGAGCTGTACTTTGAGTGATATTTGGATCTCTACTATCTATTTCTGATTTTATTTTTTAAAATTAATATGCTTTCATGTCTGAATCCTGAACATTTTTAGCTATATGCTCTTTTATTCCTATATCTTAATTTTCTAAATTTCCTGTTATATAAAATTACCATGTTTAATTTTCTCAACTGATATAAACAGTATAGTACCTAGATACAGTAATCATTTAGTATTCATTAAATAGGATTAATTATTAGTTGATATTATATTATTTTTTAAATATGGAAAATTTCAGTCACAGATATAGAAAATAAGTCTCAGAATTTCCCCTTTGGGAAAAGCTTCAAGTGAACATTATCTGGAAAAATTTTAGGAAATTTTCAAGTCATTTTAGGGCCAAGCAACTCATGGGAACGGCATTTAATACTTAACTTTGAGCACATGCTATGTACATTACTGCCACAAAGCTAATGCTTACCCTTCCAAATGTCATGTATTTCATGTGTCTAAAGAAAGATTTACTCTATTGTTTCTGCTTTTGATTTATCATTTGTGTTCCCTCCTAGCGTACTTCTTTACAATTTCCTAAATTTCCTCTTATTTGATTTACTACTAATAACTCAGTCCAACTCAGTTTTTAGTAGCTCTTCATTAGTAAAGCTCAACAACCCCTCCCCTTATTGTGTTTAAATTTTGGGTGGTTTGTGCTTAATACCAGTGCTTGTATCATTCTTAATTAGAAGCAATGTTGTCACTTCATTCTTTTTTCCTAGTTACAATCAAGACATAATGACTTGTGCTAACCCAATTATACTTCCCACTCAAGGTGCTGGAACCACAGAGGAAGGGAACAGTGTGCATGTGTGTGAGCTTATGTCTCCCCAGAAGTGTCTGCTGAGTTAAAGCTTGGGATGAAAATCTCAGTTTCACCTTCTATTTATATAACACGAAAATCAAAGTAATTATTTGAAGTGATCTCTTGGGCTTTGTCATTCCTGTCTTCCAAGAGACACGTGGCATGCAGCATAGCCTCCAACAGAGCCACTAACCCCACCCACTTTGCCTTGCATAATCTCCCTAGGATTTATCCTTATCTGTATGTTAATTCCCGCGGGGGTTTTTTTGTTGTTGTTTTTGTTTTTGTTTTGTTTTGTTTGTTTGTTTGTTTTGGTATAGTCTCTTCAGTGCTAATTGCCTTTGTTGGATTCATAACATATTACATGGTTGTGGTTCATCCATAGAAGTCATGTAAGTGAACAAACCAGCTTGGCCAGTTTTTGTTTTCTCCTAAGGTGATCTCATACAATAATTCTTATCAATTTTTTCTGATTAAGTAATGCAGATAATTAAAAACTGAATTTTCTTAATCTTTAAGATAATATTTTCCATGATTGGGCCTCAAATATACATTTCTTCAAGATTCTTAAGACTTGATAAAGTTATGGGTGTATTACCATCATAAAGCCTAAACTTACTAGAGGGGCAGTTCCTGCAGGTACCTGTGACACTTTCTAGCTGAAGCATAACTGGAGAACTGCAGATTGTATGGGGTCCTCAAACATGAGATGCATAAGAAGGCCAATAAATGGTGCAGAAAGGAATAAAATCAGCGAGGACATTATATGCCATGACTCAGAAAAATCTATGAAAGGAAGATGTAAAATTCAGAAATCTTTGACAGTCTTAACAGTAGACAGTATTAATATCAAAATACAACTGAAAAACAAAGCTTTGATGGACCACCTCCATGTCAGAAAAGAAACACAAAAGTTTCCAGTTTCTAGATCCTATTCATTGTTTATTTCCTAGTTATTTACTTTATGAAATATCAACTAAAGCCAGCCAGCAAAATAAAATGCATTCCATTGTGATATGTTCCATATACAATATATATATAATAGATAATATATAGTCTAATAACAGCAAACCATATTCCACGTGACGCTTGGACTCCCATCAGACACATCAGGATTCATTACTGTCTCTGCCACAGGCAAACTCTCGGAATTGAGAAAAGTTACATTAAATTATGAATTTTCTCAGCTTTAAAGCATGTATAATATTTTGCAATGAGAGTGAAATTATAACTTGGTATGGTATACTTGAGTTCCTGTCACATATATGGAAGATAGGTGACTGTATTCACGGGGGGTGGGGGTGTTATACTGTAAAACCCTCCTTCCAGTCCATTCTGACAAAAAAAAAAATATACTAATAAAGCTTTTGGCCCAATTAACAATTTACAAAGATAACTTTTATAAGTTCATTCCAGCTACATTCTTGCCTAAAACCTGAAATTCATAATTCATTTACAATTGTATCACATCAGGATTATAAACTATGGTAGACCAACTGGAAAATATGAACTCTAATAAAACAGCAAGTTTTATTAGTACGTGAATGTTGGTGGGTTTTAATAAAAGAATTTATCTACCAGGAAAAAAGCAGGTAGGGCAGTGTAATCACTTTGCATAATTAAAATGAACCTAATGTCTTTGTTCTCCCTAATCAGGATGGAGTAACCAAGAGCCCAGAAAAACGTTCTTCCCTCCCAAGGCCATCCTCCATCCTCCCTCCTCGCAGGGGCGTATCAGGAGACAGGGAGGAGAACTCATTCTCTCTGAACAGCTCCATCTCTTCAGCACGACGGACCACCAGTAGGTTATCCTAGTTGGCTTTCCTTTCATTGTTGTCTACTCCATTCACTGATAGAGTTCATTTAAGTTTATAGTATTTAAATAAAGTGAACATGTATTTAAAAAAATATGATCTTCATAGATAAGAATTAGAAAAATCTAGATTGTAGATTGTTTCAAAAAATTCTTTGAGTCAAAACAAGTGATGGAAGAAATGGGAATACATTGTCTCCCTATCCTTGGTGTAAAACTGAGTACAGTGCTGGGCATCTGTAACCTCAGCCGTGAGTGGGGCAGGAGGATCCCAGAACACAGTAGCCATGGAGCTTAACCAATCCATGAGACCCAAGTTCACCAAGGGACCCTGATTCAAAATGTAATGTGATGAAGAATAAAGACAGCTGATGGCAACCTCAGACTTCTGAACACACAGCATATTCACAAACACACATCCAATGAGAAAAGTGAAAATTCTGCTCAATTTACTAAGAATTTTTATGTCAAATGACCTTTAACATGATATGCTCTGTACAATATATTCAATTACTTTTTATTTCTGGCCCACAATGGACTGATCAGCAATTATAGCAATCTGTGTGGTCTGTATAATGTTCCACTCATTGTCCTGTAGTTTACATTGCTGCTGAGGCTATCTACTAAATCCTATATCAGATTATTACCCCATTTTTTCTATTTAATGAAAGCAGCTACCATTTTTAGCACGTATTAGACACACAACTGTTAACACTTGAGTTAACCATTGTAATGGTTATCTGTTAGCAATGACAAGAAACAAACTTAACAGAGAGGATACCGTATTGGATGTTGTGCAGCTAATACCCAAATGGATTTGGTCTTCAGTCCACTGATAATGTGCCTTAATACCTTAACATTGACTTGGGGGAAACAGTAATAGAGAAATGCTCTATCAAACTATATGGAGACCCCTATCTCTGTGATTGAGGAATTAGTATGTAATGATGGAAACTGCCACTACTATGCTTTTAACAACATTTGCTTTAAAAAAATTTTAATAATAATTGCCCTATTCAGACTTAACTATCATACATGATATTTACTGGTTTTGTCTACAGTGAAAATTTTATTGTCATTAGAACACTTATGCCCAGCACCATTTAATTTTATGAAATATTAGCATTCTTTGAAGTCTATGGTAAGAACACTTTCAAACCCTCAAAACTCTTAACAATTCAAAAATAAACTGTTGAGCTAGCAAGAAGGACATTTAAGAGTTGGTAATCTCCAGGGGAGTGACTTTAATTCCAAATATCTAGGGTTGAAATTGGACATAAACGAGAACCCAGAGGAGGGTAAGACAAGACAAAAGCATCAAGTGTTCCCCAGAGGAACAACTTAAATTATGCCTGTATGTGTTGCTATGAAAACAAAATGGCACCTTCTACATAAATCCACTCCTTTGATTCTCCCTGCTCTTCCCTGTAAGAGGCATTCCTATATAAACTGCTTTATAAAATGTCCTGAGTCAGTGCTGTCTACTGCACTGTGTCTCTTGATAGTGATTATAACCGACATATTGACATCTACAAATATTGGCCCTATTTTAGCTCTGTACAGCAATAGCAAAAACATACATAGGCAATTAGAAAGTCAAGCATTTCACCCTCCTTTGTTTGCCTGCCATCTCCTTAACTACACACTGGAATGCCCTGGCATTTATGCAACCTCTGAAAAGATTTGAAGGGAACAAGTCTATGCAGGAATCTCATGAACTCAGGGAGAAAGGAACATGTGTAATGCTGAATTCAGTTGAGATAAGGATCTTGGTATAATAAAACCCTCTTATTAAATGCATTAGTTTGGAACTATCTGTGCTCTCAATGTAAACTGAGAGATGAACACTGAAACCCACACAAGCTAAAACTATGGGAAATAAATACACAGTTGTGTATTATGTGTACATCTTAATCTCAGAATAGATTGCTTGGGAGGGGAATGAACGATCTGTGTGTGCCATTCAGGAATCTTCCCACAAGCAGAGATCTATATACCTCAATAAATGTGCTGTTTCTAGCTACAGGTCATCCATGTGCCTCAATAACTGTACAAACAGAAGAATAGTTTCCAAGGATTCCCAGTAAGAAGTATGAGACTAAATAGGAAAATGTACAAGTTTTAAATTTGTGTATAAACATACATCTCAAAGTATCACTGGCTTATGAACACAAAGAAAAGAAAGGAGGATCTCGCCTCCTTGGGCATTGCTGTGGTCTTTCATGAAATTCTAAATGCATTTGAATTAAGTAATTTATGAGCACTATGTGTGGAAAGAAGGGTACCTTCAAGGGAACTTTCTAACTCTATGGTATGGCTTTCTTTTCTTTCTTCTCTCTCTCTCTCTCTCTCTCTCTCTCTCTCTCTCTCTCTCTCTCTCTCTCTGTCTCTCTCTCTTGCTCTCTCTCTCGCTCTCTCTCTCTCTCTGTCTCTCTCTCTTGCTCTCTCTCTCGCTCTCTCTCTCTGTCTCTCTCTGTCTCTCTCTCTGTCTCTCTCTCTCTCTCTCTCTCTCTCTCTCTCTCTCTCTCTCTCTGTATATGTGTGTGTGTGTGTTACCCGGTGGCTAACGTAGGGTCAGAGCCTATTCGCAGAGCAGGAAAGAGTGGCACCTCAACCCCTACCACCCCTGGATCTACTGCAATCACGCCTGGAACTCCCCCAAGCTACTCGTCACGTACCCCAGGCACTCCTGGAACCCCCAGCTATCCCAGGACCCCTCATACACCAGGAACCCCAAAATCTGCCATCTTGGTGCCCAGTGAGAAGAAGGTCGCCATCATCCGCACTCCTCCAAAGTCCCCAGCTACTCCCAAGCAGCTTCGGCTTATTAACCAACCACTGCCAGACCTGAAGAATGTCAAATCCAAAATTGGATCAACTGACAACATCAAATACCAGCCTAAAGGGGGTCAGGTAAGAACTTCATAATATCACATACTTGATGTCAAAAATCTTTTTTGCACACAGGAGATGGGGATGTTACAAGTCACCAGTCACTATTCATTGCCGAGTCTGCATCTCATTCAGAGAATCAAGCTTAGGAAATACATTGAAAATTAGTCAATATGTCATTTCTGTCTGATCATTAGTGGATACTAGTTGGCTTAACCAGATGCAAGACTCCTTTAGTTGATTTCTGAATGGGTCTCCGAAGCTTTGTAGATTTGAATATATTACAGTTAACTTGTGATAAAGATTTGAGTTTTCTCTTTCAGATTCAGACCATGAGCTCACATGACTTTTAATTTTAGTAATTGCAATTTTAACTCCTTCTTTTATGACCAATGATACCTTGTGATGTGTTTTACAATTTCCTAATGTTTATTCCAGAATCACAAATTAGTTCACCAAGTTGCTGCTTGCCTATTTATTGCCTAAGTATTGAAAAGGGTAGATAATTCAGGTGATGCTAAACAGACAACTCTGTACAATTCTAGTGAAAAGAACTGTAGCCATGGAAGTTCTACTTAAGAACTGTACTGTTGTGCAAAAAAAAAAAAAATATCTCTTTCCTCCTGGCAGCAGGTCTAGAACAAACACTAATTTGCTTTCTAAGCAGAGGGTTCTGTGTTCTATTCTGACCTAGAACTTGCTTAGACAAAGCCTAGAAGAAAATGATACAAATACTATTTAATATGTCTCAGAATATTACTATACTATTGGATGGTTCAACTTCAAAAGCATTTTTTAATTATTGTTGAAATATGGGACAAAAAGAAATGTCTACCTTTGTGAACAAAAACACAATGCTCCATTAGATGCCAGATTTATCTAAATCTTAGTGCTTTTTTCCCTCATTCCTCCACTGGTCTCCTATAGTTTCTGCTTCTGATTTCTGAGAGCCTTCCTTCTTGCTAAGAAAATTCTATCTTGGGAGGCCTTGGAGAAGGCTCTTGCTGAAGTGTGATATTTTCAAGTATTCCTGCCCACCATTGGTACAAAAATTCCTTGCTGCTTGCTGCTTTATCCTGAGCATTAGCATTCACATTATGATTCTGTTCTAGGAAAGCCCAAAGGCTCACAAAAAAATCAGCTAATGAGCCAGGGCAAAGGACCCCTTTAAGAGCAGTTGTAGTAGTGTCTATAGTCACAGACAGATACATTTCACAGGAAGATGCCATGAAAATATGAGGTGTAAGAAACTTTTAAAGCCAAAACTATAACCCAAATTCTAACAAATTTGATCTGTAATAAAAATACAAGTCATTAAAAGTGACTTGCTGTGTTTCCCAAAGAATGTTGACTATAAACTATCATCCCTTAGAGTCACAAAAAAATGTAATTTGTATGATGTCATAATAGAAACTAACAGGAAATTTTGATAACTATTAAATGACATTGATATGCCAGGCGTTGGTGGCACACACCTTTAGTCCCAACACTAAGGAGGCAGAGGCAGGCAGATTTCTATGAGTTCGAGGCCAGCCTGGTCTACAGAGCGAGTTCCAGGACAGACTCCATAATACAGAGAAACCCTTGTCTCAAAAAAACCAAAAAATTAATTAATTAATTAAAAAATAAAAGGCATTGATAGTATTTTAGAATGTTATATAAATATATGATATGATATGAATTTTATAATATATTACATTCCTTGAGGGTTCCTAAAGGTTATCTGACCCTTTCTACTTTAGTTTTAGCAAGACTCTTTAAATCAGTATAAAAATAAGAGGACATCCATTTACTTCTCTTTTCATTTGTTTATCTCCTCCAAGTTGACCTCCACTAAAGTTGGTAATTCATAAAGTTGGTGTATTCTTTTGATCAGAGATAAAGCATCACCAGAAATTATGCTTAAGGACTAGTTAAGGCATATCAACCAAAATTTATATCATGAACAAAAATAGCTTCTTCTTTCACTGACTAAAAAAGAAGTCACCCTTACTCAGCACAACTCATAAAGAAATCAGACAACCTAGACAACTCAAAAAGAAATCTATAACCAAGAAATGATGTCATGACTTCCATTTCAGAAGCAGGAGGTATTTCTTCAACAAGATGAGAGGCAGAGGGAAAATATCCCACACCCAACTTTTGGTGAATGCTATAAATAAATTTACAAAGGAAAAAAAGGGTAGATGCAATTGAGCTATATTTACAGAAAATATCTAGATCTCAACACTGTAGCATTTTCCTCCAAAGATCCCTGCCCCTTGTAGTGAGTGTATCTTCTCAAATACTGGGAGTAAAGAAAGCCTTTATGTGTGGATGTTTATTAGAGGGTTTGACTTGAGCATTTTACAATTCCTACTTTATAGAATAAATGGAAAATTCTTTGTGTTAGGGTGTCATAGAATAGCCAAGTGATCTGGTTGCATTGAGAAAAAAACATCAAAACCACTAACATGCTGCTTTCAATTACAAGTATAGGGCAGCAGCAGCCAGTCCAGAACCATCAAAGAAGACAAAGCAATCCTATACTCTGTGTAGAAAATGGGTTTTATAACAATGGAGTGCAGAAATGTGGCAACTTGGTTATTTGTCTCCAATTGGAATATTTGTTGCTTTCTGTATACAGTTTTTGTACTGGTTTCTTATCTCTTATGTTAAAGTCTGTGTCACCAGAAAAGTTCAACACAGTTAACTGAAGCAAACTAGTGACTGATGGGATAGATGAGTTAGTAGAAAATATGATGAGCTTTGCAGAAAGTAATGTTAATCCTGTCAGCCCAAACATGGGCTCATTCTACTGAGGAGAAAAAAAAAAAAAAAAAAAAAAAAACACAACCATGGATTCGCTGGAGAAAGCAAACTTGGCTCATTTAACTCAAAGCATAACTGCATCCCATATTTTATATGGGAACTCTCTGTGGCAAGGTCCTCAATCTCAATTTAATCAGTCTTAATTAATATTCTCCTTTTAAGAAGTATATGAAACAAACATGTAACAAGAAAATTTAGGCAACTTCTGTTTTACCTTTTCTGTGAAACAAAGAAATAGCATGTATTGGGACCTCTCTCTCTCTCTCTCTCTCTCTTTCATCATCTGTATTATCAGGATTATTTTAAAAACACAGGGTCTTTGGGGTGTGATATTACACACAGTGTATCATTCCAGCACTAGGGAAACAGCAACTGGAAGATTCCAAGTCCAAGGCCAGCCTGGGCTACACAGTAAAACCCTGACAACAGAAACAGCCTAAGTTCTATGTCTGTGCAGTAGCTGTGCATTACAAATGGAACCAGTCAACAGAACCTGTTTTCTCAGACTGTTCATTATTAAATGGCTAGAGAAAGCAAAGCTGTGGCTATGCCTGTGAATTTGATTGATGGCCTTGTGAATTCTCAGTTATTGCCTCAATCTGTCTTTCTCAGAGTAGCTGGGCCAAAGATAGTGGGATCTCCAAGAAAGACTAAGGCAAAGAGAGTAGGTAGACTGTTTTCTAGCTCACATATGAAGACTTAATCAATGAGATTGCCAACTGATCTATGACAGAAGTACAAGAGAGCAAGGCATGGCCTCTAAATCTTAAAAACTGGACAAGTTTTATAGTGACTTCTCTTGTCTTCCTCTACTGCCTTACTTTCATTTAACTATTTAAGGCTATGGTAAATGATAAATAGATGGATAATTAAATAATTTAGAATTGAAAATAATGTCAGTTACCCTCGTCTGAAAGGGGGAGCTATTCACTGAAGTTCTTTACACTCTGCTGTAAAGCCTTATTTACTGATCGTGTTGACCTTTCTGTCACTAAAGCCATTGCTATCTCAAAACAAAAGGTCCTTACACCAGTGAGCCTGTCTTTATTCAACAGAGATTGAAAAACTATATAATTCAAAGGTCTTTTGTAGGGTAACCGGACTTCTAGAGCTATGTTTGTAAATATCAATTATTCAAACCCCTGAGAAAATTATTACTTTGAATTCACAAAACTGAAATCTGTGCTCTCCCATTTTGTTTGCTATTTATTCATTCAGCCAAACAAGGACATGAATAGCCTAGACCTCAGGATGCAGTGGGAAGCTGGGCAGATTGTTTAGAAGTTAATTCACTTCAATGACCTGGTCTTCTATGCCTTAGAATTTTCTAAAAATTTAAATGAAGGGAAAACATCAATATGAAGGAATTACCATGTAGGACTTTGAAAAGACTCATTGCTTGCTGACTGTCTCGAATTACAATATTTGCTATGTCCCTTCCATGTCCTGTTGGGGGCTGTTTCTGAAGTCTTGAAGTATGTCAAATGATAAAACTTTCTAAGACCTCAGCATTGCCTACTCAACACAATGGCTGAGGTCACACTTTCTGTGCTGTATAATAAGCTGATATTGATACAGTCTGTATGATAAAATCAGCCCCTTCTTCAACTTACTCTTTCCCTCTAGAATTTTACGCTAATTCTGCATGTGACATAAATTTATTTCAACTTCACTGTCTACTTAAGAAGACCTATTACTTACATGAATTTTGAGGACATTATAGGCTGGATTAATTAAATTCCAAATTGACTGTAGTAGTTCTAAACCCAAACATGTACACATGAGAATATAAACTTTTCAGATGAGTGAATCTTCTAGAACATCACCAACATGGCTGACTTCTTGTCTTCAGGATATCTGACATAGGCTTGCTTTTATTTTAACTGATGGTTTTAAGCAACCAGATGAGTATTCCAGTGGAATAGGAGTTGTATTTGAGAAAGGCAGGTAATTTGTAGTCAAAGGAGAGCTTCATTCTAAGACGTGCTGAGAAATAATCAACACCTAAGGAAATCATTGTCCACCACTTTTTTCACAAATCTCATGAGACAAATTCAGCTGGGAGAAGACAGCAACATTTGTTGCAACTTATGTCCATCCCTCCAGGGCATTTGAAGATTGCAGAGTGCTGATTTTGTATAATATATACTGATTTTGTCTGTATATTAGCAATGGAGCCAACATGTGCTTCTTTAGATAAAGACAGACTCCTCAGTGTGTTAAAATGAATAAGTATCTCAGGGTACAAGAAATTCAAGTTGATACCAGGATAAATGTCTCTGGCTTGTTTTGTTTTGCTAAAAATGGACCTTCAAGGATTTGTCAACTTTCATTTTACAGGTTCCATAATTTCTAAGTAACTACTTAGATTGGCTCTTTTCTGACCTTTTCCTAAAATAACCCCATTTTATTTTGTGGGAGGAATGGTAGTTCTTCTAAAGGAACAGTTTATCATGGTTATAATTTGTCACAATTAAACACTATGCTGAAGTCCCACTAGAGTCATATAAATATCTAGAAATTGATTATGTACTTCTCAAGCAAGGTAGAAGAACAGATAGAATTAGTAGGAATTTTAAACTTCTGATCAAATTTCTAAACTTCTGATCTAAATTTCATTATTGACCTATACTTATGTACCACCTCAAAATTATATGACTGCTATCTGAATAAAAAAATCAACTAAGCTATTGAATCACCAATATCTGAGTAAAATACAAGAGACTAAAATCACCTTTCAGCATTTAAATTTAGTCATTATGTAACATGGGGGACTTTATTTTTATTTGTCATCCTTTGCCTCATTTTAAATAAAAATGTTATGAAGTTATTGCAATACATAGATTTGTAAAAAATATATCATTATTCATGCCCAAAGCCAGTTTCACCTTATAAACTGAGTAGAGATCTACCATTAAAAAAGGACCAGATAAGTTTTTCACTGGAAAAAAAATGAACAAAAGTAAGTTTTTTTTTAATTATAGGATTTTGAGATTCTAGAACATCCTAAATGATATTGGCAAGGTGAGTCTTTTGGATTAAATCATTTATTTTGGAAATCACAAAAATTGTCAAATAGTTAATTAAACGTTAGGGTTGGGCAGATCTGTGTAGCTGAACTTGGATTTCCATTCTTACAGTGAGTGAATCAGAATCAGTGTTGGTGTTCCAATGATTTAGTGGTGAGTCACTTGAGACTTTAGTGATTAAACTGAAATTCATGAAATAAAATTAGAAATATCTTTCATCACCAGAGATTAATAAAATGGCTCATATAGATTCTATTTCATTTCCAGAATTATTTAAAATATTACGAGGCATAATAAATGGAGATGATTTGCCTTCTGAAGGTAATATATGATTGAAGTTTTAAAAGCAACTACTTCCACCACATCTGTAAAACTCTTAGAACGAGGTATATTAAATGGTAGCTGTGCATCCTGTGCTATCCCCATAGCTTTTACATTGAAAGTTTTGTTATACCCTAGAGAGCAGCCTAGCCATCATGTCTTCTGAATATCAATGCTGACAAGAGGTCCTTGCCTTGGGCTCCTGATGAGAGCTGCCAATGATAACTCTCTGTAAGGGACAAGCTGTCTTGTTCATGTTAGACAGGCACCGTGATTTAAGCCTTGCCAAGCTAAAAATAGAATTCCATGCCCTTTTGAATTTTAGACTCTTTTCTGCAAACACTCATAGACTTGTTAATACTCTCAAGAAAACTATACATTTAAACTAAAGCTATTAAGAGTTTGTACAGAAGATAAACTGTACCTTAAAGACATAACAATGTGATTTTTTTTTAAGCTATGGGGGAGATGTATCCAAAAAATAAAAAAAATAAAAAAGGATAGCAATGATCATAACAAAAACTAAATTATTCTTTCTATGTTTATTTTGTTTGTCCTTCAAAACATGCTAAGTTCAAAAGACAGATGAAAGAAATTATAACAGCTGTGACTGTCATACAGTATGTTACAAAACACAGTAATGTTTTTCCAGGTCCTGATTTGCTGTGGTTTTCAGGATGAATGCTTGACTTCCTGATATAAAATAAAGCATTTTGCTTCATGTCTTGAGGCAGCAACCAAAGCCTAGATGATGTTTAGGTGTTTTCTTAACTTCGCATATGTAAGGAATGCTTCCAAATGGTCACTAAATGGATAATGGTTGCTCAGAAACTGTTGCCAACAGGGGGCTTTTAAAAGGCACAGTCACAGTCAAAGCAGCCCCAGGGGGTTCTTTGTTGACCTTCCTAAGGATCCAGGAATTCTTGCATGAGTGAGAATCCTGACTTGGAGCTGTCAGCCAGACCAAGCTTGAGCCTCACTTATGCATTGAAGGCTAACAGAACAGTCAAATGCAGGCGGTGATTAGTAACTGAAGGCAGCCTGGGCTGAGAGTAACACTGGCATGTTCTCCAAGGTCTTGGGGCTCGCCTGTATTGTACTACACCACTGAGCAAACCAGAGCCCCAGCATTTCCAGCCTCCCCAACACAAATGACCCAAGTATTATTTTCTCATTCTTCCCATTTTTAGATTATATCTATATAGAAGACCTAACGCTCCAGAGCTCTTGGCCTTCGGGATTCCAGGAAAACAGGAATTCATACTGTATGACATATCTACCGTTCAATTACAGACATAGTTACAGTGTAGTTTCTTCTTCTACATGACCGTGGGTGGAAGGGAGTTGAGGGTCTCTATAGTACTTCGCATTCTGGTTCCCCTCTGCCCAGTATCTGGAAAGAAAAATGTTACCTCCAATTCCTTTTAGGTTAGGATTTTAAGCAAGAAGATCGATTTTAGCAAAGTTCAGTCAAGATGTGGTTCCAAGGATAACATCAAACATTCTGCTGGGGGTGGAAATGTAAGTAGATGCTCCTCTGAGAAAGATGTCTTCAAAGTGTGTGCAGCCTCCAGCACAACCAGCACCTCTTTCTTTGTATTCCTCATGACACACTGATTCCTCAGCAGTGTGGTGGCTTGCTCTCTGGGTGATGGATTTCCCATCCTTTCCTGTGTGATCAGTTGAGAAAGCAAAGCTGGTTAGATGCATCATGGTTTTTCTAGGGGATGGCTACCCTCCTCACCTGCTAACTGTTTCTTGGCTTTTTGAGTCATCAGTAGAAGTATTGCTGTCTCTTTTCCTCTGAACAACTGAGCCAGTCTCACACTTCTCTAACTTCATTTAAATTACTCTTGAGGCAAAGACTGGTATCCTTGAATGTGCTCAGTATGTGTGTGTGATGTCAATCCCCCATGCTTCATTATTCATGAAAGATGGGATGTCTTTTAGAATAACACAAAATTGGCAAAGCATGGCTCATCTAGAATTCACAGTAAAAAGACTGCAGTGCTAGCCCATATTTTATCCTGATGGGATTTCTTCCTCTTTCATTTAGTGTAAATATTATCCTATGAAAAGAAATGAATACTGAATCCGTATTTGTTACCTGTTGGAAGAGGCAGAGTGGAAATAGTCAGTTAAGCTCAAGCTAAAGAAATCATGTCTCCCCATAAAATAAGAATAATTACAAAAGGTGAATCTGCCATCTAAACATGAGAGTCTGGTGATCTGTGGTTTAAGTAATATACAGAACATCAGATCCTGAACCTTCAGTAATCTAAGATTCCTTCTTCTCACTCTTTAACTGGACAGACATGGATTTAAACATGAAAAAAGAAAAGATTAGCCCCTTCCATACCAAGCAGTTACTGAAAATAAAAGCAGCCTGAGCATCAACCCTCTCCCATGAGAATGCTACCATAGTATTAACTGGGCTCCATCATGGATACTGGTCTATGCCTTGGAACCAGTACCCACACTGACTTGGTTGCTCTCATGAGTATAAGTGTGCATGAAATCATGTGATATTACAGGGAAGAAGCTTTCATACAATTTATTCCCTTGAGGGCAGCAGAAGATGGACCATGCTGCCCTATGTGGTGAATGCCTCTGGTCCAAATACAGCAGTAAAGAATAAATTCAGATAACATAAGATCTTAGGTGGGAGCTTCCAACCTGCAAAACAGTAGTCTTACATATCCTTTAAGAGAGGAATTATCATTTTTGTTGTGCATATTTCCTGTGTCTGAGGGATTCTTATGTTTGGAGTTTGACAGACACAGGACCACTCCAATGGATAATAGAAAACTGCTTCAAATATTGACAAATTGAACATTTTAATGAAACAAAAATGCAAAAGCAGTATCATTTTCTAACTCGGTATACAAGAAAAAGTCTATTTAGCCAAGATAAGGGAAGAGTTTAGTAAAGTCCACTTAGAGCTTTCTTTGTCTACTTGCTGGTCTTGTTACTCTACACAGCCTTAGTCTCTTCTATATAAAAGTCACCTTGTGAATAATAACCCATCCTTCTCTTGGCTCTTTGCTATGGAAGAATTTAACATGGTGGGGCTTTTCTCAGGGGACGCTTGCCTTATTAATACAAATGTCCCCACACTCTTATGGCGTTATCTATTTTCTACTAATAATATTTCTATTCCAGGGTTTTCACTTACTTGGGTTCTTCTTTCCAGTTTGAAATAGGGGAAATGGATGGGAAAGTGTGTGTGTGTGTGTGTGTGTGTGTGTGTGTGTGTGTGTGTGTGTGTGTCTGTGTCTGTGTGTGCGTGTGTTTCTGATTGTTAAATGTTACAAGTGTGAGTAGATGTCCAGATTTGTGTTCAGCTTGGGGGCTTTCCATGTCAAGGGTATCTAAAGTTCATTTTCTGTGATTCACACAGGTACAAATTGTTACTAAGAAGATAGACTTAAGCCATGTGACATCCAAATGTGGCTCTCTGAAGAACATCCGTCACAGGCCAGGTAAAAAAATAGGATATAACAACTGAATAATACTTAGTTGGATTGAAGAAGAAAACAAGCAGAATTCTTGATGTTTTTGTGAAAACCCCGAGTGAAAAGATGTTTCAAGGTCTTGATACTTCATGCTTTTGTGAATAGAAATTTAAGTCCAAACTGTCAAAAAGAGTCTCCTTTTGAGATCAGTGAACCTAATTACCTGGAAGCAACCACATGTATAGAACAATAGAGTTCTTTCAGAATGTGTAGACTGCAAAATATATGGAGTCTGTACATAAGAACAGTGATCGAGAACAGCATTTCCCAATATTTTTCCTAAAATTATGCTTTCTGCATTGTGTAAAATAGGGATTGGGTGTCACAACTAAAGAAAGTCATTTATCTGATTCTTTCTCCGATTCATTCTTGAGTGAAAAAGCACTGGGACTCCTCAGCAGAAGACAACATGTTGCAGTTTACTTGATTCTAGGCTCTCCTTTCTTCTGTGGGTATCTCATAGGATAGTATTTCTAAGTAGAACTTAAATCCCCACTTGCCATTGTGGGGAATCTTCATTTCAAAAGTATGAATATGACATAAGTCATTTTTTTTATCTGAAGAGCACAAATGGTTTATTTATCCAAACCTATATAATAACGGAAAACTGTCAAATGTTCAATGTTTTTGAGACTATTTTCACACTGTACAATTTATAACATAACATTGGATTGCAGGATAGCAAAGTAATTAGCTTTAACCACCTGATTGGCATTAAACCAAATGAAGATTAGTAGATTAACTATCATCTCAAATATTGTCAAAAGTAAGGTATAACAATAATTGAGCTGAGACTTCTAGATAGGAAATTATTAATACTCTTTAGATTGGATACAAAGATGGGTAGAACATATCTCAGAGTGAACAATTACATTAGAAATAGTTGGAAATGAGTCTTCACTGTACCAAAGGTTGTTCACGACAAGTCAAGGATATTGAATCTTTGTATATGGTATTTGCACTGCTGGATACAGAATTGTACCAGTGGATCCATTCACTCTCATAAGCCACAAGGGCACATTCCTTAGTTCAGATCTTCAAAACACCCTCTCCATAGCTGGTCTACCACTGAGTTATTAACTACTACTGTTTAGTTCATAGCATAACTTGGGTAGTTTGCCACATTGTCAATTTTCTTACAGAATTCAAAAGAAAATGCTGGTTTTGTTGATTCTAGACAGATAGAATTAGTCAAATTCACCTGGAGTTTAGATGCATAAAAACCATCATAGAGATAAAGGCAATATTCTGTGTGTGATTTACTAGACATAAAAGGCTATTGTCACAGACTCCCACTTGTTTCTAAATCCAGTTTGTCTATAACTAATTTGAATGACTAAATTCATAAAGGAAATGTCAGTGTGCTGATCCTTGACAATAGCAATCTTTTCACAAAGTTGTTGTGCAGCTTTGTACAATATCTACACTGAAAGTAAAGGAAACAGTTCAGCACCCGAGGGTACAAATGGAAATATCAACACTTTAAAGCCTGATGAAGATTATAGTTTTTCATAATAACTACGGAAGGTAGCTGTCAAAGTATTTTAAAAGCAGAGGCATATATCTCTAAATTTAAATAGGCTTGTCTAAATGTTACATAAGACTAGTGAAAAACCAAGAGAGATAGCCTGATCAAGCTTCCTTTGTTGGATATGGTTTGTGTCATTAGTATATTATTTTTCTTTCTCTTTAAGAAAAAGTTCAATAACATTTTAACCAAACTATGTTGACACTGCACACAGTCAAAGAAAGGAATATTGGGAAGGCAATTTCTACCAAAAGCTACCAAAAAGTGCAAGAATAATATTCCAAAGCAATTAATATCCTTAGTTAAAAAGGCCCAACATTCCCCAGCTAACCAAGGCGATTACATTTGTATGAATCATTATGAAGGAAGTTAATCCCCCAACAATCAACAAGTGAGACCCACAGGCTAGGTAAAACACAGGAAGAACAATGCTCCATGAAATAATGCATATTTTGAGTTATGTCCCTTACATGTGAATTACATAGTAGTTTATATACCCTACGTTTCAGGAGGAAAAAATGAGTGCTTTTGAAAATATAGTTCAATACCTTACAATTACAAGAGGATCCTGGCCAAACAGTTGGGTATTGGCATAAATGTTTAGAGTTAGAACAAAAAAGACATCACAAGCTAAGAGACATGTAATTAAAACTTAATGAGACCTCTTTCATCACCTGGTAGGAAGGATACTATCATTAAGAAAGTTTTGTCAAGTTGAGCCTACTCCATTGTCTGTGGGTTAGAACTGATCCTTGAAATTTGCTCGAAAGTGGGAAAATCATCTGCATAATCTGTGCCAATGAACAACTGACCCCTTGATACATCAAGAATTCTAAATTGAGCCAGGCATGGTGGGGCACACCTTTAATCCAGCACTCAGGAGGTAGAGGCAGATCTCTATGAGTTCAAGGCCAGCCTGTTCTGGTCTACAACTGTCTCCAAAAAAAAAAAAAAAAAAAAAAAGAAAGAAAGAAAAAGAAAAAAGAAAGAAAGAAAGGAAAGAAAAGAGAAAAGAAAAAGAATTCCAAATTGAAAGGTATTAATGTTTTTATAGATCCTTAGATCCTTGCAATCATTTTTCTAAATCAAACTCCCCATGAAAATTTCTGATTAAGTCTGATTAAAGGATCAAGATGCACTTCTGAACAAATGTGTGTGGCTGAAACCAAGCATTCCATGAAGATCTCTTAGGTGCAGATAAATAAAAAAAGATTCTGCTCTACCTTTCTAAGTCAAAGACATCAGCAAACACTCAGCCATGGTTAAGAACGGTCTGAGAGGCACTGAATAACTACTTTGTGTAGAAGAACGAAGAAACCCCTACATGTGAGAGGGGTCTGCAGGGATGGAGAAAACAACTGTAAAGGGTGCTCATGACGCCATAACCATCAGCAGATTCTTACATGTCAAACTGTTAGAAATATATAAAATAGCCTGACCAAAAGCCTGTCTCAGTGTTACCTTAACAGTGGCAGTGTCAGCATCTGTATGAGAATCCATTCAAAGTCATAGCCTAGCACCCTATATGCTAATTTAAGGTAGACCTTAAAAGTAGTTGTATAACATGCAATTCTTGACTCGTTTCATCAGCAAAGTTGTTGAGGTTGAAAATGTACAAATGAGCGCAGTCTTCTCTCATTTCTGGATGATTGACGTGAGACTCCATGTGGATACCTGGATCCTCAGCTCCCTTACATAAAATGGCATAGATTTCTCTCCCCTTCTGTATATTTTAAATCATCTCATTATTACTGATAGCATCTAACACAATCTAAATGTATAAATCTTGATGGTAGAATATTCAGGAAATAATGATAAGGAAAATGTTCTGCAGATGTCCGATACAGATGCAATTTTTTTTCAAGTGTTTTCAAACCCAAGGATGCAGAATTGCAGATACAGAGAACTAACTGTTTGTTGATTGTATATCCACTGTCCCAGTTTTCTTTCTGTTGCTGTTGAATACCATAGCTAAAAGCCATGGGGAGGGGGGGAAAGGGTTCATTTCATCATGCACTTCTAGGTCACAGTCCATTGTGGAGGGAAACAAGGAAGTAAAGCAAAAACTAATGCAGAAGCCATGAAGACATATTGCTTGCTGGGTGCTTTCTGACTTCTTTATTGGCTCATATTCGTCTAGATTTCTCACAGCCCAGGTCTGCCTGCTCCAGGATGGTCCCTCCCACAGTAGGCTGGGCCTTGCCATAACCATCAACAGTCGATATCTTAACAGACAGGGCCACAGACCACTCTGATCTGGACAAGCCCTCAATTAAGATGCTTTCAGATAACTCTAGGTGTGTCAAGTTCACAGCTGTCTAGGAATGCACCATTATAGCCTAAAAGTTTTTTTTTTAGACAAGTGACTTTTTAATCATGAAGATCAATAAAGAATAGTTTCATTTCCACTTAATTTGTTCTAGTAAAAATAAAAGAGTAGATGTCCAAAGTTTTAGCAAAGATGCAATAGGATATTTTCTTCTTGTGTTATTTTTAGAAGTATTATGACAGGAAAACTTCTCTGGTTTCTAAGGCAGACACAGATAAAGAATAATGAATAATATGTGAAGCAATCTATACAATGATATAAGAAGAATGCCATTATCTTGACTCATAATGGGAAATGGTGTAGTCTGAAAATTGAACAGATTCCTCTCATGTCTAGTTACAAGAGTGAAATGTAATGTCTCTGGCATTCTATGTGGTTCTTCCTTTTGTGAGAATAGCTTTCATAAATATAAGATTTCATTTCAGCAAGGAATTTGAAATGCTTTCTCCTCTTGAAGGTGGTGGACGTGTGAAAATTGAGAGTGTAAAACTGGATTTCAAGGAAAAGGCCCAAGCTAAAGTCGGTTCACTTGACAATGCTCACCACGTACCTGGAGGTGGTAATGTGAAGGTAAGAGATGAGGCCATGAACCAGTCATGTGTTTGTGTGAACACATTTCTTATGAAATATTCCTTTTTAAATCATTTCCTTTATTTTTGAAATTATAATATAATAAATATAGCATAATTATATCATTTCTCCCTTTCCTTTCCTCTCTCTGAATCCTTCATTCTCTTTCAAATTTATAACCAATATTTTTAAATAATTGTTCTTACATACATATATGTATGTTTATATACATACATGTCCCTAAATGGAAAAACCTACGACTACCACTTTAGTAGCCCAGCATAATCCCTAACTACATTTTGAAATAGCTTGATCAAAATGGATCTTTAGTTAAAGAAGGTGTCAAACAAGAAGGGGGCGGGGTGCATAACTGAATAGATAGCAGCAGAACTGAATAGATAGCAGATTCTTATCAGCTGTGGGATATGGAGAAAGAGCTGGGGACTGGTGAAGATGCTTGAACTAATGAAGACAAATATTTCCCTTAAACAGATTGACAGCCAAAAGTTGAACTTCAGGGAGCATGCAAAGGCCCGTGTAGACCATGGGGCTGAGATCATCACACAGTCCCCAAGCAGGTCGAGCGTGGCATCGCCCCGACGACTCAGCAATGTCTCCTCTTCTGGAAGCATCAACCTGCTCGAATCCCCTCAGCTTGCCACTTTGGCTGAGGATGTCACTGCCGCGCTTGCTAAGCAGGGCTTGTGAATACTTCTCCTTTAGCACTGGAGTAATATTTAGGCATGAGCTCTTGGCAAGAGTGGGCTCTGAGCAGGTGTCATATTCATTCTTTACAAACCATAGATAAATAATCTCACCCCCAAACTGTAGTAATTGTTACAATTTTATATAAAAAAATGAATAGTATATGCAGAAAATGACCTGATTTCCATCCTCAACAGGAACACATGGCTTTACATGGATACAATTGGACAATTATTTTCGCTCTGCTCTGTTTTGCATGGAGTACTATTATTATTTTTAAAATTGCATTTTTACCTTTCATGTGCCTGAAGGCTATCCAAGTCATTCTGAAAGGCCTTGTTAAAAATCCAAGCTGCTCATTTCACTATTCTGTTTATGGTTGGAAAGATTAAAAACTGTGCATTGTCACTTAAGACAGGTTCAATGACATCAAGGAGTCTGAAAGAGCATGTGAGAAACACATTTTCAAAGTGTTACTTTGTGTAAATGGGAAGAAAGATGCAGCTAAGTTATTAACACTTGGGACCTGGATGATTATATCAGAGTATGCCATCCCTATAAATTATTTAACTAAAAGCTAGATATAAAGCTTTGGAGCTGTGGTTGATGAAGCAGTGTTAAGTGCATTTCTTAGGATTGATGCACTTTCCGTCAGGATGGGCTTGTGTCTGATTAGAATGTCAGTTGATTGGCTACATTTGTGTCCACACAATCAGTTTCACACCCCCAATCCATCTGTTTGATACAGTATTATAGATATAAATATATATATATTTCTCTGTGGCCATTTGTGATACTTCCTCATATACTTGAATATGATACTTCTTTATTCACAGTATCTGTGTCTCCTACACCCTTTGGTGTTGCAATTTTAGGTATGTGAAAGTAGATGTTAGCAGGGTTCTCTCCCTAATTTAAAAATACATTTGAAAAAAGACAAAACGTTTTAGCATGAAGTTGCTTTCTGTAACAACTCAAAGCTGTAACCCTGTTTTAGTGGCAGAGTCAAGTCTCTCCTGTGATGCTAGAACATTTCATTTTTCTTTGCTTTCACCAACATGGAGTTTGTGGAGTGGGTCCAGTTATACATAAAAGGGTTTCCAGGTCATTGGTTCGAAGATTATGGATTTATCTCATGTTTAATCACTGAATAGTTTGGGTTTGTTCCTATACTCATCCATGAAACAGGTTTCTTTTTATTGTTTCCTCCCTTTCTTCTTTTTATTTTTTCCATTTGCTAAAGTTGAAACTATGAATGATGATTTTGGATCTATTTTCCAGTTCTCCAAATAGTATTTGTTCATTAAATTCTCTGGTAGAAGATAGCTGTATTCCTTACCTCTATGACCCCTTGATCAAAAAGGAAAAATACAACATATTGGAAAACTACATTGATATAATCTTTGAGACACAGATAACTAAATCCATCTTCCCAGAATTCAACGTTGAAGTCTGTTCAAGAACATGGTATGACTTACTTATCAGTAAATACTATTTTTTTATTTTATATAAGTTTAGACATCACAATTAAATTAATTTATTTACAAATCATATTTAATGAATAAGAAATAGTCAGTGGACCAAAATAGGATAAAGCATTATCAAACTTGGTGGACTTTTTAAAATATTTTATTTGTTCTTTTTCTTGCTCAGGATTGGTAGACTGAATCTGAAAAGTTAAATAAAAGAAGTTGGCTAGGTTTTTTTTTAATGTCTATGAGGCAAATCAAGGAGAAGACGAGTAAGAACAGGACAGAGAGGTATGTGGGTATTTAAGAGAGAAGTAAAAAAGATGCAAAAGCAGAGAAACACTGGTGGCATTTTGGTGACCCATTGAGTATTACAGCCAATGTGACAGTCACACGGAAAACTCAACATCAAACCAGGGCAGTCTTCTCAGCGAGGAGGAGGTTGACACACACAAAAAGGATATCCTTGTTTGTAAAGCAGTTATTTTTAAAATAACTTTAATGTCTGTTTTTACTCTGGACAATTCATTCATTACCTTCTCTTGAAATGCACAAGAAATGGAAGATGGGATAATGGTGTGTGGAGAAGTCCATTCTTTTTTCTTTTCTTTTTCTTTTTCTTTCTTTCTTTTTTTTTTTTTTTTTTTTTTTTTTAATGTTTTAATAGTGCTAGACAGGGATTAAGTTCCCTAGGGAAAAAAGTTAACAGATGGTTAGGGTAGTTTTAAACTATGAGGAAAATAATTTCAACCTTGTTTATTATAAACATTAAAGCTAAGAAAACAAGTTCCAAGAGTTAAAATTCAGTTTCTTACAATGTGTGTTCAAAATAAAATTCTGTAAGCCCCAATGTGAATAGATTTGGCACCAAAATTATCATGTATTTCTAATGTTAATGCAATTATAATGAGTACAAGTACTTGTTTTATGTGAAAATGTGATTCCATATAAAGTTAACACAGAGGGACTGACAGAGACAGAGAAATGCACAGGCTAACAATATTTTCTTATGGGAACATGGGATGGATCCCACCTTACCTACTCTTTTAAGATAATGACTCAAATTAAGCTTTTTGGACACCACTTTTGTGGGGATACCCATACGCTGATCTAGAAATGAAAGCTTCACAGTTCCATTCCTAGATCCACTTATGCCAGTTTCTCTCTGGCTTTAGCCTTTGAGAACCTGTTTAAGAATACATAAGTATCCAGAGTTCTGAAGAGTTCAAAGGCCAACTTTTGCAATGGACTCACACACTCTGGGTCTCCTGCAATTGAAATTGGGTACCTTGCAACAATGCAGGAAGGATCCGAGTTCACGATGAGTTTCAAAGGCCGTGTTCACTTAGGAACAGACTCTTTCTGGATCTGCCTGCTGAGTTCCAGCAGGATGGTGGGCTGAAATTCCACCCATAGGAAAGATGCCTGTGTAATTCCAGCTCTGTTTGGCTGAAGGTAGCTGAAGGACAAGGTCCAGTAAACTGGAGTAGACAATAGTTGGCCTTCTCCACACACACACAAATGCACGCAGGCACACACGTGCACACATACACAGGGTAGAAGTGAGATTAGCAGCCAAATGTAGCATCTTTTCAGTGGTAGTAAAGAAATATTCTAAATGTGGATGACTCTGACCTAGCTGGGTTTAGTTTCCTCTTATTTTTATGCCACAGGAAGGAAAGGAACTGATTTGTAGTAGAAGTAGAAAAGAAAAAGTAGATTAATCGGTTGGGGAGGCAATTTCAAGCCTTTCTTCAAAGACTGATGTGCTACTAGCAACACTGATATTTGTGTTTTGACACCTAAGATTTTCAGCCTGGCCTTGTAGGTTGAGGACAAGACCCTCTGTAGGAAAAAGATCTTTTTCAAACCCCAAAAGAATGCCAATCATGAAAGTCCACTTCAACTTTAGCAAAAAGGGGAAAAAAAAAATCAACAAAAAGTGTACTCTGTATGCTGGGTTCCCAAGGTTCCAACACATCACTACAAATCTGTGGGGGATTCTTTCTTCTAATAATTCTAGAGCCTGTTACCATAGAAAGGCATTTCTTCAATGGCTGGTTGTAGTTAGTTCATGTTTTTCAATCAATTTGCAAATGTATTTGTTGCTGTATAGTGATTGTTTTGCAAAATAAAATTGCTTGTCACCTAACTACAAACTTCAGATTTTTTTTTTTTTAAAGAAATTATTTCTTCATTCCTGGAGGTGGAAGTGTGTGTGTGTGTGTGTGTGTGTGTGTGTGTGTGTGTGTGTGTGTGTGTGATATGTATATGTATATACACATCATTTGATTCAATCGAAGAAAAACTAAGGTTAAATAAAGGCCATGATTATCTTTCAGATTCCTATTATGTGCCCACTCCCTATAAAAGGCAATTCTATATTACCTAATCTATTTGATAAACCAATGGTTTTCTGTATTTCAGTGCTGGTCATCACTTCCAGGGTAGTGTACATACTTGAGAAATGTTCTACCACTGAGCAAAGCTTCAGTGGAAATGCTGCTTTCTATTTTAAGAAAATAGTGTGAATGAGGCTAAGGTCTGTGAAAAGTCTCATAAAATTAGCATCTGAAAAAGTAAGTTGACAAAGAAAAACCGGATTCCCCACCCCAAACCTAACTTACTCTATTGGCTCCCTTTCAGTGGCTCCAGGGTGTTCCTGAGTAAGTTGCAGTTCATTATAGTACTAAAATGCACAGCCCTGGATGGAGAGTTGCAATAAGAAGACACCGGATATATGAGCTTCTGTGTAGAACTATATGTGACAAGACAGAGAATGGACCGAAAAGCTCATGTACATTTGGGCTTCATTGTCATGCTTTCTTTGAACTGCCAGACCCTACATAATGACACAGAGACTTAACAATTACAAAAGCTTGGCCTTAGCTTACGCTTATCTCACTAGCTCTTACAACTTAAATTAACCAGCTTCTGTTTATCTGCATTTTGCCACATGGTTCTTTACCTTTTTTCAGTATTATGCATCTAGCTTGCTCCATGTCTCCTTGGCAAAATCCACACACTTCAGATTCTTCCCTAGTTCCTCTCTCCCACAAAGTCCTGCCTATTCTTTCCTGCCTAGTCATTGGCCATTCAGCTATTTATTAAACCAATCAGATGGTGCCCCATGAAGATAAGGCAAGACATAACAACACCCATGTTTTGCAAATGAGCCCCAAACCCTATGTTAAGGTAATGTATGCCCCATCTTGGTGCAGTGGTGCCCTTGGGCTGCTCAACTCAAAGTACATCTGTAATAAATCCTTTCATTGTGCTCGTCACCATCTACTGTTCTTTGTTCCAGGACTTAAGAGCCTTGGATTCACAATGATACCCACTGAGCCCCAATATCAGACAACATCATTAGCAGGATGCTGTCTGTTGTCAGTACCAGAAATTTTAAAAGGTTTAAATATAGGTTTAATTTCTTGGTTCAATTAATACATAGGCAGGTCATGTGCCTGCTGTGTTCATTTTGCCTAGAGAACATAAGAAAACATCTAGTCATCTCAGGGTATGCTCCAACAAAGACCAAAGTCTGATTTCACAGAAGTCCAACTTGGTGAGACCACTGGGTTGATTGAGCTTTCTTACTGAGCATAGGTAAGCATGGTTGCACAAAATTCAAGTCACCCCAACCTCATAGAAACTATATCATGAAGTCTCATTTTTAACTTTTTGCTTTACTTTTTGTATATGCTAGCATCTTCTAAGATCACTTGTAGCTAGAGGAGGGAGTAATAGAATCCCAGGAAAAAGTGTCCTGACCATTCTTGGTAAGGGTCAATACCATACATCTAGCTACCATTGGTTAGTT